TTAATATAGAAATACCGAATGTTTAATTGAAATAACTACTACTACGTTGAACTTGCAATGCACAGTTTACATTCAACGACTTAATTTATAGACAGAAGGATGGCATAGCAATGGGATCCCCTCTTGGTCAATTACTAGCAGATTGCTTCATAGCCAGTTTAGAAAACAACCAACTTAAAACGATTATAGGAAACCCTCACTTGTATAAAAGATACGTAGATGATATCTACATCACTTGTGACAACAAATATGACTTGATTCATCTTCTAAAGACATTTAATAATTGTCACCCAGCAATAAAATTCACACTGAAAGTTGAAAACAAATAAAATATTCACTTTCTTGATGTGGAAATGACAAGAAAACAAGGCGATACTCTAAGAAGATTTATCTACAGGAAACCCATTTGAAATAGCCGACTACCAAGTTTCCACAGCTGGGTTCTCATCAGTCGAAAAAGAAACTTGATAATAACACTCGCTACAAGAATTTGAGGAATCTGTAGTCCCGAAGTCATAGATGAAGAATTGGGCCCCTCGAAGGAGACACATATCAAAAACGGGTATCCTACAATATTCATTGGTAAGGACATAAGACCGAAAACGCCGATAACAAATAGTTACAGTAGAAAAGAAAACATTATACATGAACATCGACTTCGAGGGTGACAGAGCCACATACATCTTAAAGAGGAGAATTTCTGATTCTTTAAAGAGAACATTCTTTCCAACAACATTCTGAATAGTATTCTCCAGTCAATCATTGTTCATCAATAATCTTAAAGATAAATTATCTCATCCGACCAACTCAATTTGTATTTACCAATTTACCCGCTCATGTGGAGCTAGTTATATAGGTCGTTCGACGCGTACTTTATCCAAAAAAATTCAAGAACGTTATCCGACATGGCTTAAAAGAGGAGGAAATGGCTCAATAATTAGTTCAATAATCGAACACCTTGTGAACACATGTAACTCAATCAAGACAGATTCTGCGTTCAAAGTCATCTACAAGGTAAGCAGAAATCTTGCAAAGACAATTAGACTGCGTCTTCTTTGCATTGCCGAAGCATTAGCCATACATCTGGAAAAACCAAATTGTGTGTGCAAATGAGACTGGTACAAGCTCGTCTCTTACCATGGTCTTAATGTCTCATAACTTTTTTCTCTTTCTACATACTCTCCTTCCTTTACAGCCATCTGTTTCACCTTCCATCTTCCCCTTAAATCTTCTACCCTCAACTGGTTTATTTCTGTTTCTACGATCATCCTGATTACATTTAATCTCAATTTCAACATTTTATCTTATCATGCTGAGCCATCCTTTCCCAATGATAATTTCCTTATCCATCTTTTCATAAATACTTAAGCCATTAACAATCAAACGATTATTAAGCTTTCCTTGTTTTATAAAAAAAGTTTTAATACCTTTGTTTATTTTACCTCACCGTTGCCATGTCTAACAAAAGTTTATTATCAGTATTATTATAACTATCATCCTGTAACATAAGTATATATTCACTTGGTGTTGTTTTACTTGTATCTTCCCATTGTAGTTTAAAACTGCAATTGATCGGTCTCATGTTGGCATATGTACATCTTATAGATTTGTACAGCTTTGAAAATGAATTCTCCGAAAAGCAAACTCCTCACTGAACTAATTTTTCTTATTTATACATCTACTTGTAACCTAAAGATTTTTAGAATTTAATTTGGCATACAATTTTTTTTTCAGACGGGTTTTGTGGAGATTTTAGAAATTTCACAGATTGAAATCATGAGCCAATTGAAGCTAGACGACCATGGAAAACCTGGAAGCACTGGACGGCCGTGTAACTCTATTTCTTGAGTTGATTGAAGTTATACATTAGCACCACTGGATGCCGGCTCAGTGGTCAAGATGTTAGACGTTTGAGATCGAGACCGATAGATCCTGATTTCGATCCACGAGGGGCATGATCGTGGATGCGCACTACTGACGAGTCCCATACTAGGATGAAACGGCCGTCCAGTGCTTCCAGGTTTTCCATGGTGGTCTAGCTTCAATTGATTCATGATTTCAATCAGTGAAATGTTTTTTTTTCATTTTAAAAATGAAAACTTTAGAAAAACTTAAAATTGTTAATATTCAATGATTAAATAAAGGCATTGAACTAATCATTCTTTTTGTATTGTTTTAAACAAACAAAATTATTAAGAATACATTTCACTAGATTAGAATAAATAATATTGATTAAATGACACGCCTAAATAAATCTTACAGTCTTATCAGATTAGCCTATATCGAATATTTTTATTTTTTTATAGCTATAGCATAGAAATTTGACATGTTTATCGTAATGGTTACAATGATAAAGAATCAGTAAATTGAGTGCTTGTAATTAAAACTACTTGCTGAACTTGTCAAACAGCATTGATTATAACGATTTACAAAGGTAGAAAAACTGGTCAGTTGATTGAACAAATACAATATTAAGGAATAGTAGTTTCCATGTATGTATGAAATATTCAACAAAAGCATTATGACCTTGTCCTCCTAGTTAGTTCGTAAATAAAGCAGTTACTCATTGAAGGAAATGTAAGACGGTCATGTAATATCGCGAATTGATCCAAGTTAGATATGGAAACTATTAAATAAATACTCAAAAGTATGAAGGTCATACTCGAGATTAAAAGTCTTTGACTCTCGGTAGGATTGTAGATATACATGCTCGTAAGCCTAATACTAGGACAAGACAGATGTTGAGTTTCCAGGCTTTCAGAGGATGCCCAATTAGGATCAATCCGTGACGTAAACTATGAAAATATAACAAACTCCATAAGCCACTATGCTAATGACAAAAAATTAGCCATAGGTAAAAGTAAATTCGTGAAATAATCTATAGTCCATCTAAGGATTTTACTCGTTGCGGCTCAAATGGAGATTGGTTCGAAAACTTATGCACTGATTGGGTTGTGACAATTCACCAGTACAAACCTGAACTCTACGTGTAAAAGTAATACATGTACCCTCATCCTTGCATGCCATAAGGCGCGTCTCCAGTATGTTTCTTTTTAGTTTGTACTTTTTTGAATTATGATCAGTTATTATTATCCTCTAAAGATTTTTCATGATTATTGTCCAGTCGGAACAACATATACCAGCAATAATGTTTTCAATTAGATCGTCATCCGGTTTTACTCTAATATACACGAATATTAGTATGAAAATATGAAACCAATCAAGTCAGTTTGTGAGTTAGTGATCACAATAAAATTGATTGCATAATTACACGTATTTATTCAAGTTTGACTTACTCCCAATGTTGAACTACTGATTAGAACTTTTATTAATTTATTATTGTTACCACTGTTGGTACACCTGTCCTCTTATTTTATCACTGTACTTTTTATCTATTAAGTCATGCAATCAGTTTCATTGTGATATTCGACCTATAAATTGCCTTGATTGGTTTCACGTCCTCCGACAAATATTCATGTATATTAGAGTAAAGCCGGATGACGATCTAGTTGAAAACAATATTGTTTTCTTACAAGTGTTCTAAATTTTACACTCGGAAACCTTAACACCATTCAGTTGTTGTTATGACCTTTATGTTTTCCATTTCTTCCTCTCATAAACAGAGAGGACAGATTCTTATATTTCTGACCCACAAACTATTTCCTTCCCCCTATTCTTCTCACACACACCCCCAATTATTACGCAATCCTCTTTTGATATTTGTAACCCTAGTCTACTTTATGACGCAATCTCTTTGTATTCTTCAACAGATTCATCTATTTATCAAACAACTTATAAGCACGATAGTACAGCTTAACTGGATGATTTCGTGAAAGGAAAACTTTATTCAGTAAATTCTCTTTATTTTTATTCAGTGACATAACAGTTTATTTTAACCGAGAGATTTATGAGGTTTGAACCCAGTGAAATATTACCACTGTATGAGGTTTTATTGATGAACAATATATATATATATATAAAGAATAATCAGTCGCAGTCCTGAAATGAAAAATGAGAAATTGTAGACCCCCCTTAACGCTCTGATAATGGAAACTTCTCGTACAAGAAAACCAAAATAATATCTATGCTTTCATACGCATTTAGGATCAAGTTTTCAATGAGTAAAATCCAATTTTTCGTTGACATGAAACCAAAATTCCCTTGTAAATTATTCGAAAAGTTATTTTGACTGAAACACTTCATATGTATTATACTACTAATCCAAAGAGATTTAAATGTTTGGAAAGTACCATTTACCCTTTCTTAGAATAATACAAGAACTATTTTCGTGTATGCACAATGCTAACATCTTCCTGTCTAATTTATTCAAAAACATGACAATCGTTTGTGAACTATACAATGTTAACTGTTAATGTTTTTTTTCACATTTTTCAACTTTCAACAAATTCTATCGTGTCTTTTTTGACAGTCAATAAGCATCAATATGTCAGCCAGTGTTTGGAAGAAAATATAGCAACTAATAGGAAAAATCTTACATGACATTTACGTATCCAAAAGCGCGTGCATATAAACGCATATAAAATTAACGATTATTCCATTCGTTTCTTATCGTTTCTAGCTTAAACTAATATTTCTATCGTATTTCTAAATCATATTCCAGGTATTTGTCGATCTTTTTGTGTTGAAAATCTATTTCATGTTAAAGAAAAGCAAGAAAAAAAACTAACTTATGTCATACCACGGGCAGTTATTGTAGTCATACATAACAGCGATCGTATTTCAATGGAGTCTTATAAGATTTACCTAAAAGGAAATGTTTATTATACATAGAAAACAATACATTCAGTCTGTCATATTATTATTTTACTAATTCAAGGAAAACACTATTTTAGTAACAATATATTGATATTTTTAAGAAAAATAAAACAGTTAATTAAAATATACACGTATATAATTTTACTTAAATTTGATTGGTTATTTAAAATAAACCAATCAGAAATTAAGTATTTCAATAATTGGAAATCTCAAATTTTATGAACAATGTAAATGATGTTTTATTGTCATCATTTACACTGTCATACATTAGAATAAACCTGTAAACATTTTTTTAGACTAATAACAATGAACAAACAAAAAAGACTTGTATTTCATACAAATTTGTGAATAATTTACAAATTTTATGATTAAACTAAATGTAATCGGATTTATACTTTTGGAATACAAATTCATGTAATGAAGAGATAATAAACCACATTAAAGGTGGGATTATAAATTACATATACATACATAAATATTATAGCTATCTGTGATTTTGTTATATCAATTTGTTCTCATCTACCAAGTTCAAGAAGTGAGTTTATCAAAGTTTCAATAAATTAGTTTAAACACATTTTAACATGGATCAATTGTAAATTTAGTTTGAATTGAAAACATGAATCGATCAATTTTAAATCACCATTGAAAACTTGGAAAAACTGGAAGGCTGCTTCGTCCTAGTATAGAACTCTTGCATTCAAGATCGATTCATGATTTCAATTGAAAAATCAACAATCTCCACAACCCTATACTGATAATTTAAATTGATTTGTGCATATTGAGTATTGTTGTAAAAATGAAAGTTGAATAATTTAATAATAATTACCTAAATCGATAGTATATGAAGATAAGTTTAATTCGTAAAGTGTTTTTTCATGAAAATTTGGCTTTAGCACTAAAAATCAAGAATCATTAGATTGTTATTTACTTTTTGTTTGATACTCCTTAGTTTTACATTTTAATAACTTTATATGGTATCGATTTCATCATCAAATTACTCACTCATTGTGTCAGACAGACGAACAGAATATTTTACTCAACTATGGCTAATTTATCAAATACTGTGTCTATCATTCAAAATTGTAAGACAATCACTATTTTATTCCTAAATCGGTCAACTTTACAGGTAATAGATTCTTATTAGAAGTTCAGACAAATTCGTTTTACAATTTGTTGGTAAATTGTTCAAGAAGGGTTGACATAAATGTTCATTGATCACTTCTTTTAAATAAAAAAATTATTTGAATTTTTTTATGGAAATTTCTAGTATAATTTTATTTTCAGAAAAATGTTTCGTCGATATTATAGTAAATTATTAGTTGAGTTCATGAGTCCATGAAAACTAGACCACCATGGAAAACCTGGAACCGTTGAACAGCCGTTTCGTCCTATTGTGTGTGTGCATCCACGATCCCCCCCGAAGGATTTTAGACCAGAACCTGCCGGTCCCATATGCGAACGCCTAGCCTCTAGACCACTAAGCTGCCATCCAATGGTGCGAATGTCTAACTTTGACCAATCCACGAATTTGAGACACTGTTCACCATTGTTTTCAGTGAGTTACTATCTCACAACAGACACGGTTGAACTCCACTGGTTACTGCTTCTCACTAAAACTCACTAAAATAATAATAAGCAATCGTTTAGTAAATACATGTTCATTGTACATGCAAATTGTTTTATACCAAAATATAATTGATTTTAAACAAACGAATGAAGAATAACATTTTCAGTAGTTCCATATCGGATTATACGATTAAAAATCTTATTATTAATGAACGAAATTTATGGTATGCACACTGTTATTCGTTTAAGGGTTTGTAGTTACTCATTGTTGATACTACGAACTCTATTTCATCAATCTAGATTTGCATCTTAAGAGAAGTGCTTCAATATTACTTTTACTTAAAAGTTATATTGAGATTGAATTGTGACTTACAGTTAATTCATATTTACACCATGTACCAGTCAATGACTGTCTGAACTCAGTAGCTAAATAGATAAAGCGTTTATGTTTTAAATGAATGATTCTGAACTCGAGTTTCCCTTTAATCATCACCACTGAAGTTCACGTTCATAAACAGGACAACTGTCAGACACAATCCAACTTCACTAAGTTTACTGGAGTTTTTAAATTACAAGATTAGTATTCAAAAATGTCAATAAAATCAGTTGGTTAGCTTTTGTGAATTTGAAAATGAGTAGTACGAAACATGTACTACAATAAGATTACAGATTAAATAAAACAAAAATGGTCAACTAGATTCTAAATAACATGATATTCTGAATCAAAATAGAAATTTAATTCCTTTTCTTCATGCTCTATGAATCAGTGATTATTTCCATTATGAAGTTATATAAGTACACTCACTGTACGTTTATTATTCCCTTTCATATATTCTTTATTTAAATTTATTTGGTTATCTTTTTATGTCTGAATATTGAACTTAAGAATCACATCAATCTTCACTACCACTTAACTAATATTTCACTTTTAGTATAGGGTTATAGGTCATGGAATTTTTCTAGATTTTAAATTACTAATTGGTGTTATTTTGATCACCACTGCAAACCTGGAAGCACTGGATGGTTGTTTCATCTTATTATGAGACTCCTCAGAAGTGAGCATCTACAACCCTGTGTCCGGGAATTTTCGATATTCTGTAATATTCTACTAAAAATTCGATTATGTTATAAATTAAATTAAAACTACTTCTCTCACTATACCATAAATACACTTTTAATAATTAATTTAGAATCTCATTCAACCTACAACCGGATTCGAGCATACACTGAATACCTAAACCATTGAGTTTGCCGCACTTTAAAAATATGTTTTTACCCATAAATTATCCATTGTTTTATGAGTAGGTTGTATTCATCATACTAGGATCTGGGTTGGCGTTTCACTAAGAAGGTAGAATTGATCAACTACCTTGCTTAGTGTGGAACTCCTCAATAGTGTTCACTCACTACTCATCAGGAATCGAAACTAAGTTCTTTAGGTCATATGATGGACATTTAACTATCAGGACTACCACGAAGGGATCCAGTTTTACAATTTTAAATGCGATTAATTTTCAGTATAATACAATGGCAATTTAATATCATTATCGACCACTGTTTCACTCTCGACTTATCCAAACTTCAACAGTTATGATTTCTCATGGTTACATTTTAAAATTAATTCAGAGATATGACTGGATCAGAGTTCGATGAATATAAAGTTCTATTTATTTGGATCTCTTTAATACAATCGGAATTTAAAATTCGGTAAATTATCGTATGATGTTACTGTGTTGTTAAACTTAAATAGTTTTCACTTAAGTTTAACATACTTTTAAACTAGTTTCTGGAGTAATCTATCAATCTATTTCAAGATTGATAACAATTTATTTTATTCTATCCAGTTTCATTGTGATATGTGACTCGTTTTGTAAAATATAATTTTATATTTCTTCTTACATATATCACATCATCTGACGTTATTTTTATCGCACACATTAGTTCGTGATTGTTTAATGGTGGTCTAGCTTCAATTTACTCATGATCTCAACTGTTGTAATAATGACATTTATTACTATCTACTCACATGTAAGTATGTGATAAAGTGTTAAAGGAAGAAAACACACAGTGTTTTAGAGATGAACATTTTCTAACCATTTTTCTTGTCATTTCGATTAGATAATAACAATAATAATTCCTATTAAATATGTAAACAGAAAAGTGTTTATCAGCTGACCTGTTGTAATCAAATTTGATGATGATAATGATAATATTAGTTAGTTTAATCAAATGTTAGAATGATGTAATAAGATATGCATATTTTCAATTTGTTAAATCAACATGATTTTCACTAAACGTTTCACTGATAAATGCATTTTAAACGGTGCAAATCATTCAACTGTAATAAGAATTTAGTTTATCAACATTCAATAATGTATTTTTACAGTTGAATGCACAAGTCGATTTAAGCTAGACCACCATTAAAAACCTGGGTGGACTGAACGGTGGTTTTGTTCTAGTGCTTCTATGTATTCAGTAGTGGTCTAGCTTAGATAGACTAATGACTTCAACTGTGAAAATACAACGATCTTCACAAATCCCCATAAAAATGAAATTGAATGATGATCATTGGATAGTTAAGGATAGTTGGCATGACCAACTGATATCCAGTACAAAGCCATTGAGGACTATGAAACTGTTGAATAATCATTTCTTGTTAGCCGATATATTCTAATTGATAGATGCACACGACTCTATCTAGAATCAAGCACACTACCTTCATATCTTGGGTTTACAATTCCAATCTAAGTGAATTAATTACATCGAGCAATTATCATCTCATGAAATCAGTAATACTTCTCTCACTGTATAAATGGTTAAACTTTCCCAGTCATATATTTTCCTTAATACGTCATTTATAAATTTCCACAGGACTACTTCAAATAAACAGTAATAGCCAGTTCACTAATGAATTACTTCAAAATATTGTTTATGCTCAAGTGGGAAATCGTGACTGGCAGAGTTCGAACTGATTTAAAGTGGAATAGTTGTCAGTGATGAGACTAAATCATCCTTGCGGCATATTGCGAACCGGCTGATTAGGTAACTGTGAACCTGAATGCCAACGTGGTAATTCTAATGGTGAAACATTTTCTGCTAGATGTGGAGATTCTTGATCGCACTCAAAGTGGAATCGTGTATGAGCATTATCGAAAATTCCCCATATTAAAACGAAACAGTGGTTCAGTATTCTCTGCTTTTTAACGGTACGCGTAATGAGTGAAATCTATGACAAAAATAAACTGATTTCTATAAAACTGTTCGAATGAATATCATTTTATATTTTAAAATTAGCCATTAAAATGCACAGTATTTGTATGTAGCTAGTAGTTGTTGTGGAGATTATGTATTATCTTTTCAGGAATAAAAGCCATCTCTAAACATAGATCAACTAAATAATCCCTAAACAGTTAGAATATTCAAGATTTCTGTTTAATTAACTTGATTACTTCTTTATTAGTTTTACAGACGTCTCTTTTTACTAGTGGATTCACGCAATTTTTCTAGTCAATAGACATTTTTTATTGAGAAAGAGCTATGATCTTTACATCACTTTGGGAAACTAATTAATTCGTTATATTCAGTTCATATGCTAATATAACTGTTAGTCATATGTATTTAATTTTAGTATGTTTTAATTTGACCAAAAGATAAGAACGAAATGTTATCGGATAGCTTGGTAAAAATGCTTCTTAACTAACTTCATTACAAAGTAAAACGAATTATTGAGGTGATCTGTGAAAAAAGTTTTATGTATAGTTTAAAGATGATTTATATTTACCATAAAATGTTAAAATGCAGGTTGGCCTACGTGAAAAGCTGTCTTTAAACTATATAAATCTGTTTAAAGAATGTTATTGTAAATAGTTTTCTTAGACCAATTCCGAGAATGGTTTAACGAGATTTTAATGAGAAATCTGATTGATGGGTTCAATCAAATTGGAAATCAGGCAGCTTGTATTAACGATT